CATTGATCACACTTTGAGTAGTCGGTCTACCTCGTCGTTGACTACTTTAGCTCGATCTGGGCCGATCTTGCGGCATTTCTGTCTGACAGGTTTGATGGTTGGGTCGATGTTGAGTTCGTGTGCGACGACCTCTGTATCGATTCTGGCATGTCCGCAGTGGACCATGCGAAGGTGCTTATGTTTTCTTTTAGAAAACTTATTAGCTCGATGAGGATTGTTTTCGCGAGGTCGACCCCGATTCCAACGCACCTTTCGGGGTTGATCTCGTCTATGCATACTTGCTCGATCAGTTCCGTTCGAGGTTCGCATATGTAGGGGTCTTTATTATGTTTGAGCTGTCAGACTGCGAGCTCTTCCTCTTTCAGTAATTGCTATACGGGAGCTTTCTTGGCTCGCAAGAAGCTGCCCATGTAGCAATCCCTTGAGGCTCGTTGGGAGCCGCATATCGATTTGGTTCCCCAAGGGGTTGGGAATTTGACACATTGGTGGTATGTGGAAGCTACAGCTTTCATCGCGTAGAGCCACGGTCTGCCGAGTATGGCGATAAATGGAGCCGGGCGATCTACGACCACGAAGTCAATTGTTCTTATGACTCCGCCGACTTTAACTGGAAGTTGGATGGTTCCTAATGAGTAGGTGGTTTCTCCTGCAAAGCCGGTGAGTGGAGTTCGATCGTTCGACAGCATGGATGTTTGGTATCTCATGCGTCTAAAAGCGTCGAAGAACAGCACGTCTACCGAGCTCCCAGTATCGCTCATGACCCTTGTGAGGTCGAAACCGCCTACAGCGATCTGGATGACGAGTGCGTCATCATGTGGTTTGTCTAGAGACAGAGTTTCGCTTTCTAGAAACTTATTTGGTGGCCGGGTCCGTCCAGAGGTAGGTTTACGGTGGCAGACTCGACCTTGCGTTGATAGGCCTTGATCGAGTTAATTGAGTCTCGACACATCTTCGAGCCTCTGCAGATGAAGTCGATTCGCTTCATTTTGGGTAGCTCCCCCTCCCCCCCGAACGAGTGAGCGTTGCGCGAGCTTGAGCTCGCTTGAGTTCGAGGAGTCGAGAGTTGGGTTATGCTCGGTTTTGACGAGCTTCCGAGTAGTTTTAACACGTGTCCCCTTGCGACCTTATGGAACCTGGTGGAGCCGGAACTCGAAGGTTTCCTAGGGGCGGCTGGGGGGGGGGGGGGGGGGTGACTACTGATTTCATTGATCCACCGCAAAGGTTTAGCTCTCTGAAAATCAGGTCAATCCTTTTTCTCGCTGATGGAGGGGAATCAGGGGTTTGGACTTCGACTTCGACTTCGCGATCTCGTTTTTAAGGTGCTTTGTTGGGGTCTACTTCCCTGTTTCGGGTCGAGGTCTTTTTGGGCTTTTCGCTTTTTCCCTCGGCCTTCTCGGCCTTTTTCTTTGCGAGCTTTTTCGCCAGGATTCTAGATCGAGTTCGACATTCCTCGGTGGAATGTCCGTTCTTTTTGTGGTGCTCGCAGTATTTGCTTGGGTTGAAGCTCGACTCCTTTTCAGGGGACGAGCTTTCTATGGCATATGAATGCTGACCTTTGCCCTGCGATTCCCTTTTGGGAGGTAGAACGTTAGATTTCTTCGACACAAAGGGCGCGAGGTGGAGTTGTGAGTTGCGGTATTTTGCTTCACAGGCAGCCATCTTGTCTTCAAAGTTAGCGTATATGGAAGCGCGATGGAGCGCATCGTCGAGTGAGTTCGTAAGTCGAAGCGTGAGCTCCGCATTAAACCTCCAACTGATACCAAAGGTTGGTTCGGAGGGCGAGCAGGGCTACTGCTTCGTTAGGGTTAGTGATTTTTGCTTTGATTGCCTTGAATTTAGCGATGTATGATCGAAGTGGTTCGTCTGGAGCTTGGACTAGCTTCCAGAGGTCGGCTTTGGTTTCTCGTTTTTCGATGAAGATTGAATATTGCTTGAGGAAGGCTATTGCGAGCTCGTTGAAATTTGAGATTGAATTTTCTTCCAGCGTCGCAAACCATTTCTGGGCTGGTCCAACTAATTTTTTGGCAAAGAGCCTACAGTATGCTGCTTCTTTTTCCTCTGGGGAGAAGTTAGCTCGGATAGCTGCGAGGTTGAAGAGTCGGATATGAGCTTTTGGGTCGCTGTTTCCAGCGTACTCTAGGATTCGTACTTTTGTCGTGTCTCAGAGGTATGTGTTCATGATCGAGTAGGTGAACGGAGTCCGTTGGGTCTCGCGAATTACTCGATTGATGTCGGGAGCTGAGCTCGTGGCTTGATGGAACACGGAGTTCATCTGCCGAATGGCGTAGTCGGTCTGGTTCTGGAACCTTTCAAAGAATTCGAAGTCGACTAGGTTTCTTGAGCCGACGCCGAGGTGGTTAGCCTGAGTCGGATCATTTGGAGTATGAGTTCCGAGCTGTTGGTGAACGAACCCTATGGGTTGTTCGCGGATCCCTCTAGGAAGTCTCAAGCTCGAGGTCGTGTTCGGTTGTTGGCTGAACTGGAGTGGTGTTTGCGAGCTCGAGGCAAATGCCGAGGATCCAAGCCATCTCTGTCGAGGTGGCTCGGTTCCGGGTGGTCTTAAGGGTGAGGATGGATATCTCGTGTTGGGACGGGATCCCATTTCGGGTATTCCTGGTGTTCGGACAGGTGTAGATAGATATCTCGTCGCGGGACGAGGTCCTATCTCTGGTATTCCTGGAGCCAGAATATCTGTGGTGATTAGTGTCTGGTTCGCCGCGAGGGCCAAGTTTGGTGGATCTGGAGCACGCAGAGGTGTCACGTATGGTCCAGGTGGATTACTCGGAGCAGGGATCGACGAAAAGTCGAGATGTGTCTATGGAGGTGGACTCACAGCGGATTGAGCTGCGGCTTGACGCCTTTCCTGTCTTTCTAATCTGATCTCCTGATCTCGTTGTCGATCGATCAGATGTGTGAGAATTTGGAGTATCTCCGCCGACTCCGATGTGCTCCTAGAAGCTACGGGTATAGGCGGGGAAACAGGAGCTGCTCGGCTCTGAGACACCGAAGCTGTAGATGGATTCTCGGATCGCACCCAGGTTCGAGAGAGAGGCATCTCGGCTGTTTGTGATTGATTGCTCGTCGTTCCCGGTGGGGTGACGAGGTTGATCACGATCGGTTCCACTCGGCTGGGAACGTTGGAGTTCGTGTTGATGGTGTCGATGGGGGTCGTAACCCTGGGTTCGTTTCTGCCGGTTGTCTGGCTGACGTTGTCGGTCGGAGTAACTTGATCTGGAGAGATCGGAATCGGTGAGACGTTTCCCGAGGTTTGTTGAGTCGAATCCATTTTGGTTTCGGCTGGCTTAGGATCTGCTCTTGAGTAAGAGAAATCTATAGATCTTCCCCACAGACGGCGCTAAAATGTGGATACAGGAATCCACACTCAGAAATTTATGTGTTTTTATAAGGAAAGAACTTTAGAGGATTAAGGGCTAGATTCTCTCGAACAGATTGACAATATAAGCTAGTACTAACTGAAATAAGGACTTAGTATTAATCGGTTGAATGAAACGGTTACAAGAATTTCAATGAAGAAGATGAACTGAAAAGAACTCTGAAAGCAGTTACAGAGTTTTCGGGTGTAAAACGTGTAAAAGAAGATCAAGCCGAAAGTCTCCTTAACTAAGCTGTTTGTCTCCTTTATATAGCTCGCCTCCTCGAGCTTTGAGCTCCAGTACGTATCTCGGCCACGTGCAGCAGCTTCAGCCGGAAATCTCGCCACGTGCAGTAGCTTCCTCCGCGATATTCACTTGTTTGAACTGGCGAGAATATGTTTTGATTTGGCTCGGATCCTTTCTTGTTTTTCGGAATGTGTTGTTGTTCAGAATTAGATCGTTGAAAGCTAAATGAGTCTAGATCGTAAGGTCAAAGCCTAATCAATTTGGCTTAGTTTGAATCTGTCCGTTGGGCACCCCAAATCCAGCTCCAACAATAATTAAAACCGCGCATCGCAAATATGGTACTATATCGGTATATAGTATCGTCTATCATAAATCTATGTGGTGTGAATACATACGAGTATATGTTGTATGGTCCTTGTGGAGTCGTTGGTGAAACTATATCTTCTAATGATAGACTATACACGTAATTACCTAAGATTAACATAACTTTGCATATCATCTTATGACTAATGTATTTGCTATACTATTTCAATCCGTTTTGAGTTTTTTTTTTCTGAATTCAGTTTTGGAGAGTCTCTGGGAACTCCACCCGATGCAACTCTGGCCGTGGCGCAAACTCATCTACTCCTCAACAATTTACCTTCTCGGACTCGGAAGATCGCATGCATGCATAATGGCTTTGACAAAATTTTATGCATATGCATGAATAAATTAATATATATATATATATGTGAATATGACACATATAAATTTATTTTGGAGGTTTGGCTAATGTCAAAATGGCTAACGACTTTTGAGGGGAAAAAATGTATTTTACGTAAAGCTATGAGGAGTTGATTATTTAGGAATTGAAAAACATTGAAAAAGTATTGTTTCGTAAGAAATGGTGTATATTTATGGAATTTTCTAAAGGTAACGTAAGGTTTTGATAATCTTTATTTATATGGGTGTGGAATCATTAAATATATATTTCTCACTTAAAAACAAAAACAAACAAAAAAAACACAAGAAAACTCTTTTTTTTTTAAAAAAATACACTTTAGGTTTCTTATCAAATTTTCTAAAAGTAACGTAAGGTTTTGATAATCTTTATTTTTATGGGTGTGGAATCATTAAATCTTTATTTCTCACTTAAAACAAAAACAAAAAACAAAAGAAAACTCTTTTTCTTTTTAAATACACTTTAGGTTTGTTATCAACATCACCATCTCTAGTAGAAACAAGTTTCTTTTTGAAACAATTAGAACACAAAAGCTCAATAATTCGCAATAGAAACTTCATTGAAACAAGTACGTCTTATTGTAAAGAAAACAAAAGAAACAAAGACGACAAACATAATCGAAGGTTGACCAAAGTAAAGCAATGATAGTAAGAAAAAGACAATAAACACACCTAAAATTTAGAAAAAAAGTCCGGAGTCTTTACATCGAGAATAAACCTCAAGAACACACATTACAAAAAAAACACATAAAATCTCTCAAGACAGGACATGCGGATGCTTTTTTTTTTTGGTGAGAACAATATTGTTTAGCTCTGTCTAACAAAAACCTACGATTTCAGAAGACAAAACCACAAAACCCCTCACCTAAAAAAACGACTAAAACAGATACTAAAAAGACACAACAAAACAAACCCCACAAACACATTCTTCGTTCTTTCTTTACCTTTACCTTTGGATTTAGAGATTGAGTTTCTCCAGAATCTTATTCCCAAACTTGTTGCACCTCATCAATCGTTTGTTACGGTTTATATGCCACATCAAGCTGTATCGCATAGTATAGTCCTGCAAACACCAAACAAGACTCCTCTCATTATCTCTACGCACAAGACCACATCACATTAAACAATGTAATACGGTCTTAGTATTCATTACCTTACACACAAACCATGCGGTTTGAATCACATAGTTTCCAAACGGGTCAAGAAGAAGTGTGTCAATGTCTCTTATCAAGTCGTATATGATCACGCTAGTGTCGATATACTGTATCTTCAATAGCTTCTGCACAGCATGGCTTCCATATTTGTTGCGGGAGAGGTACGCATAGTTCCCGATCAGCTGTTGCACGAGCTCGAGTGTTACATTTTCATCTTCCAGCTCCACTATGTACTGCACGACGTAGTTCCTAAAGGAGAAAAATAGAACTGTGTGAGTAAACAAAACTACTGAATCATATATGATTTTATGTATCATTATTCATCTCATGTTTACCCGTAGCAGTTAACGCAGAGTCTCAGCGCATTAAGGATTATCTCGTGAATCAAACGTTTCTTTAGCACTTGGCAATCAATGGCAAGACATTGCTGGAGCATGCAGCAGCCATGTTGATCAATTGCTATCGGGTAACAGTTCTGAGCTATGACTTCAAGAAGATTCTGTAAAAGAACAAAAGACAAGACAGGGAGGATTGAAGAAAGAGTGTTATATCCCAATGTCTTTCTGCTTAAGAGTACTAACAAAGAAGATAAAACCTATGATTCATGGTGCAATTTACTTGTACCACAAGCAAGAAGGTGACCAAAGGTTATAGAACTTCTACAAAACATACCATACACATGACTCTAGAATACGTTTCAGTCACGAGTTCTATAGCAAATCTTGAACAGATGAAAACATACATTGCAAAATTAACCAACACAAAGCAAACTGAAACATCAAATTGATTCATCTACTCTGAGTTGCCACAGTACATGTTCTTCAACTCTATGGTATAAGAAAGTGACTTCAAGTTTGAGAAATAAAAGTGATTCCATAACCAGAGAAGCAAAGATTCAGCAGAATTGACTCCATGAACATAGAAGCAAAGATTCAGCAGATAAACATCTTTCAAGTTTATCAGAACATATCGTTTTTATATCGGTTAACGAACTAACTTAACTTTAGAGATATCCTATATTACCTCGAATTAAACATCTTAGTTAAAATAATACTTCAAGAACTGAAGCAGAGTACTGTAGATGAGATCTGATTACCTGATTCTGCAAGGGAGAAAACTGGTTGAAGCATTGAAGAACCACATGTTTCCCGTTGTTGCTCGTTGTAAACGTAAGTGCTACCATGCTTATAGCTTCCACGATGCGCAGGATTTGATCCTCAGAAGCAAGACACTTCATCAGCGACTGCATTGCACGGGTTCTGAACATCTCCAAAACAAAGACAAGACGAAAATTACACCACACAGAACAACATTTCTCTGCCTTTATCCTCAAATCCAAAACCAGAACAATCACCATGACAATGAACTGAGCAAAAGATCAAGAACCAAATATCAAGAATCAAAAGTGTGTTTACCCGATAGGATCAAGGCATATGTTGGCAAATCGATACTGGTGCTGAGTGACCAAATAAAGAATCTGAGTGATCTGTTCAGAACTGCATCTCTCCATAAGCTTCTGAGCGACATGATTACCAAAAGGGTCCACCATCAGCTCACAAATTTGATAGATGACCTCGTTGAAGATCACATCAATCGTCTCCTGCGTACCCTCAGAGATCTTCTTCTGCAACACATTACTCGAATCTCGTTGTTTAGCAAGCGAAACAATCGAGGCCCTACTCGAACCTCCGTTTCTACTCCAACAATCGTTGATTCCAGACCCAAATCCATTGTTGGAACCCCAAGGACTCTGATCCATTAAACGATTCCTTGAGAAATAAGAAACGTCTCGGGAATTTCCGTTGAGGAAGCCATTGTTAAGCATCACATTACCGCTACTACCACTTTGCCCAGAATTAGCGTAATCATAATACGATCCTCTATTAACACAATCGTTCTGAAAGGATAATCTGTGATAGTAGTGATCATTCATCATCAGCTGTTGCGGATCAATCTCAGGGAGAGGAGTATTTGGAGGAGGACGAGACCAAAATCCACCACCGCTACCAATGCCGCCGCCGCCGCCATTGATCGGTTGATTGTGAAGTGATGACGACGACGATCGATTGCTCCAACGATTATCGCGCGGCGGATTTTGCGGCGGAACACTTGAATCGAGAACGGAGAGCATACCGAAAGACGATTCTAGGGTTTGCAAATCAACACGACTCTGGAAGCGAAACAGCTCTTCGTCGAGGATGGAATCGATTCCGTGACTTTCCGCTTGAAGCTGAGGAGTCTGCGACTGAGACGGACTTCGTCGAGACGCCGTCGTTGCTGGATTCTCTTCCATTGTCGCTGGATTCTCGCGTTCGCCGTTTGTGGTGACTCGAAGCGAATCCATTGCTGAGGAAAAGAAGCTGAAGAGAGGAAAAACAAATTAAATAACAAAAGAGAGAAATAGTATATATTAGGAAAAAAAAGAAAAAGAAAGTGACCCTAATTTTAGTTTTTCTGGGTTTGGGGAAATTTAATGAGAAGGGAAATGAAAAGAGAGAGAAGATTTTAGGAATTAATGGAGAAAGGTGTGATTAAGGTAATATAAGAGAGATTTAATTACAGAGAAATAAAGCTTATAACAAGGAAAGTTTAAGAGATTGAATACGTTTTAAAATCTGAAAAATCTTTCTCTCAATTGATGTATTGCACTAAGTTCCTCTGCTCTCTTTCCTTCTTCTGCTAATTTTTTTTCTTTCTTTGCCATGCACATTAAATAATCACACAATAATATTCCACTACGACTCAGTACAGTCAAAGTCGCAGTGCACTTCAAGTATGGACTCGCTTGGACCACACGAGTAAGCTTCTTATTGGTTACGACATTTTAATTGTGTTAAGATGTTCTTTTTGATTTTTATAAAAGAGATTGTTTTTATTTTATTTTAGATAAATATAAATATAGATTTTGCCAAATATATTAATGTTTGATCGGTTTAAATAATATAAAAAACCAAAAATATATTTGATTTAGGTTAATCTATAGCAATGGAGGATTTAGGATTTTTATTTAATAAAAAGAGATTATTATTTAATGGGGGCACTTTAATATAATTTACATCTTACAAATTATTATAAAAAGAAATATTATAGTACATCAAATTTTCTATAATTTACTTTAAAAAATTTTAATGGCTTTTAAGATCCTCAAAATAATATAGTCCTATTAACTTTTTAGATGAAATAAACAATTAATGTTATTTTTAAAATGCATTCATCTTAGAACATGTTATCACCATTATTAGTATGAGTAAATGAAATATTATTTTTAGTTAAAAAAAATATTTATAATTATTATTTCATGAAAATAAAAACAAAGATTAGAAATAAGAATAATTATTCAAAAATATATTTGTTAAATTGAAACTAGTAGATATGTTTTTTGGAACAGATAAATTTCATATTATGAATTTATTTTGGAGAAGAGGAGATGACTAGTATTTGGGTGCTCAGTCTATTTATACTGTTTCGGGTCGACGAGGACATCGATCCAAACGAAGACACTAACCAAGTACCCGAGGTGCGTGAGGCCCCCATGACGCGCTCAAGGATGAAGCAACTAAGAAAGGGTTCAATTTAGTCATAGAAAGCATCATACAATCATTCGGACTAGAAGAACTTGCTTTAGTTGGAACGGGATAGGACTTGTGCAACGATGGCACGGCAGGTCGTAATGACGGTACCACGGGTCGTAATGACAACATGGCGGTACGTACCGCGGGCCAGGCTGACCATACCACACACGATGATATTATAGATGGTTTTAACCGTCTTGCCATCCATTCGCCTCGCCAAGGTAATATCACTGACCCTCCCATACGTACTTTACCGATCACTAACCATGCAGGAACGTTCACACCGGAGGAGCCTCATACACACCAAGACCGCATCTTAACAAGTTCAAGAGAAGAAATACAAGAAGGTCGGGATGAGTCAAGGGAGGATAACAACCAAGCTACGAGTGAGGATACTTCCAGCTTCAACACACAAGTGAAACAAGACCACAAGGAACGCCCCACACCTAAAGCAAGCACTATCACCATCAACCATTACCGCGCACACTTCACTAAGGTACTTTCAATTTATAACATCATGCAGGTTGAATGACATGTCCCAGCGGTTCCCACAAGCCTTAGAAGCACCCACGTTCGAGTCACAGTTAGAGTCAAGAAGAAGCGGCTTAGTTATTTTCTTTTTTTTAGCTAGTGAACTTTCTTTTTATAGTTTCTTTGCTTTGTACGTTTAGTAGCTAGCTTAGTGTCGTTTTGTTTTGTTTCTTTTTGCGTTTTACTTTTGGTCTTAGGGCTAGCTGATAGGACCATTTATAAGGTCCCCTTGCAGCTGTGTATCTTTGGTTACCTTTGATTATCAATAAAAACGCCGAATTTCCTTTCAACGAGTTCTTGAGAAACCATTCTCACCTTTGCTTGATTTCTAGAGTGAATTCTCTTGAGATTGGGCCGTTTTGTATCAGAGTCTCATCACTACTCTGTGGTACACTTCGTTCTGCCAACAAATCCCTTTTCCTTGATCCCACACGAGAGAGCGACCGCCAGCGTGTTAGATCTTCATCATCGACCATCAGACGAGAGCAAGAGAGAGGGACCGCCAGCTTGTACTCACCACCACCATCCGGTTCATATAAGATCATCCGAGTCTTATACCATCCGGTATCAGAGCCAAAGGTTCCTGCCTTTGGTTTTTCTATCCTTTCGCTTTATTGATCCATTTGATAGCCTTAGTTATTTCATTGTTCACTTGTGTTTGTTTGTTTTGCTTATTTAAAAACCCATAAAAAAATCTTTTGCTTACTCTTATTCAGTCTCTTGTTTTGAAGTTTTATAAAAAGAAAACCCCAAAAATAGTAGATCCGGTTTGCTGATTTCTTTCTCTTGTTTTGAATCTTAAAGCATCTTTCATAAAAACCCATAAAAAGTTTTCTTTGTGTTTCACGCTTTGCTAGCCTTGCCTATTGATCTGTTTGTTGTTTCTCTAGTCAAGTAATAGTTCTAGTAAGCTTGGTGTTTGTTGGTACCGTGACCGTTTGTTAAGTGTTTGCAAGGGACATCATCTAGCAACACCATGACAGAAGGAGATGCAACCCCCCAAGATGCTATGATGCAAATGTTCGCAGCTCTAAGGGAAGATTTTCGGACCATGACCGAGACCGTAGGGACAATGCACCAAGAGTTTGGCGCTAGGATCAATCAAATGGAGGCACGGCTAGGGAGAGCCCCTATACGCGGAGATCCCATTCCCCCAGAGCCTGATGATGACATGACCGATCTAGATAAGGACATTCGTGACCCCATACGACGCCCACAACCGAGGCGACAAGATCCCCTCCAAAGGAACCCTGCGCGTGAGGTAAATGCTAGAGAGCATAACCATGACATTAAACTAACCCCTCCTACTTTTGCAGGAAAATTAAACCCGTAGGTTTACATGGATTGGGAATGAAGGATGGACCACATCTTTGCGTGCTACGGGTATGCCAAGCGCAAGAAGGTGGCCGTAGCTGCTGCCAACCTCACGGAGAATGCCCTCGCGTGGTGGGACAGGAGTGTAGCCGAGAGAAGACGCCAGCGGTTCGGGCCAGTCTCGGCTTGGAGCGACATAAAGTTTCTTCCCCACCAAAGGTATGTGCCAGAACATTACCATAGAGACTTACAGAACCGTTTTCGTAAGTTGGCACAGGGAACTAGGAGTGTTGAGGAGTACTTTGAGGAGTTTGAGAAGCTGATGAACTCGCTAGAGCTAGAGGAATCCGAGGAAGCTCTAATGGCGCAGTTTATAGATGAGCTTCAAGAGAGGATAACCCGAAAGGTGGAATGATCTCAGTACAGTGGGCTACACGAGCTACTACACCTATCAGTGCAAGTGGAGCAGCAAATCAAACGCAAAACCTCTTATGCTGTGGAACCGAGCCACTCAACCGTGGGTAGCCAGCGGTTCTAATCCCTTAGACAAGGGAAAGGCGATTGAGATTGATTCACGGTTCAAAAGCAAGCCACTCGAACCCTCTAAATTCTACCGTGCTGATCAAGGTAAGTTCCCTAGTAACCAAACAAGGACTCGGGATATAACTTGTTTTAAGTGTCAAGGCAGGGGACACATGGCTCGTGAATGCCCGAACCAACGAGTGATGATCCTCACGTCAAGCGGCGATTATGAATCCCAAAACGAGCGAGATGAAGACCATGATGAGGAGGACGAGGAGTTGGAGTTCCCTGACACGGGAGAGCTACTAGTGACACGCCGAGTGTTAAGCGTGATGGTTAACCCCGAGGAGAAGGTTCAGCGCGAAAACATCTTCCATAGTCAAGGGCAAGGTATGTAACCTCATTATAGACGGCGGTTCCTGTACTAACGTGGCAAGCAGGTACATGGTGATACTTGTCCTCAAGAAAGATGGAACATGGCGAATGTGCGTGGACTGCCGCGCCATTAATAACATCACGATCAAGTACCGGCATCCGATCCCACGCTTAGATGACATGCTTGACGAGCTGAGTGGAGCCACCATTTTCTCCAAAGTTGACCTTAAGAGTGGATATCACCAAGTGAGGATGAGGGAGGGAGACGAATGGAAGACGACTTTCAAAACAAAGCAGGGGCTTTACGAGTGACTAGTCATGCCATTCGGCTTGACCAATGCACCAAGCACCTTCATGCGACTGATGAATCAGGTTCTAAGGTCTTATATTGGTAAATTCGTAGTAGTATATTTTGATGATATACTAGTATACAGTAAGAAATCTTCTGATCATCTAAAGCATCTTGAGTTTGTTCTAAAAACACTTCGAAAGGAAGGCTTATTTGCTAACCTCCAAAAGTGCTCCTTTTGTACTAACAAACTCATTTTCTTAGGCTTTGTAGTGAGTGAACAGGGACTACAAGTGGATGAGGAAAAGATCAAAGCAATTAGAAAGTGGCCAACACCAACTACTATCGGGCAAGTGCGAAGCTTCCATGGGCTGGCCAGTTTCTATAGGCGATTTGTGCGAGATTTTAGCACCATAGCTGCACCACTCACTGCCGTGATCAAGAAGAATGCGCCATTCAGTTGGGGATCAGCTCAAGACGCAGCTTTCAGTACGCTCAAGGACCGGCTTACACAAGCACCAGTACTAGGCCTCCCTGACTTTGACGAGAAGTTTGAGGTCGAGTGTGACGCCTCTGGAGTTGGCATTGGAGCAGTACTACATCAGCGCAAGAAGCCCGTGGCATTTTTCAGTGAAAAGCTAAGTGGAGCTACGCTGAACTATCCTACCTATGACAAGGAGCTATACGCTTTAGTTAGATCTTTGGAGACGTGGCAACATTATCTACTGTCCAAGGAGTTCATCATTCATACCGATCATGAAACCTTGAAGCATCTACGAGGGCAAACAGCATTAAAGAGGAGACATGCCAAATGGTTAGAGTTCATAGAGACTTTTCCGTACGTGATCAAGTACAAGAAAGGCAATGAGAATGTAGTAGCCAACACTTTATCAAGGAGACATGCATTAATATCCACCATGGAGGCCAATGACTTGGGTTTGAGCACATAAAAGCCTTGTATGACACTGACCCGGAGCTAAGTGAAGCTTTCAAGGAGAGCGTACGGGAGCTTTCAAGCAGTTCTACATACACGAGGGGTTTCTATTAAGAGACAAGCGACTATGCATTCC